GCCATCCAAGGGACTCTCAAGAGTTTTCTCCAACACCATAGTTCAAAAGCATCAACATTAACTGTGAACAACTTAAATGGGTAGTTTGCTTTGATTCACAGAAAGAGGAGGCTGAGGAGGACAGGACAACTGTAGTTGATGATGTTATTGTTAACTTTCTTAGCTGGTCTAATAGCCATGTGAGAATTCCTCCTCTTCTTAGAAAACAAAAGCTGAGGTATGAAGTTTCATGATATTTGCATCTCACTTTCAAATGATTCAGGGAAAAAATAGTTAACTCAGTCCTGAAGTATACAGTCTGTTAAAACAGGTGTATTTGGGTTTTTTCACCTTTTATAAGGTGTATTTTACTATATGATAATATGGTAGGTGTAATGAAGAACACTTAGGATATAGTCCATGTTCACATAATGTCTCAGTAATTCTATCTTGATTGGCCAGGTCAGAAGGGGAAGTGAAGGTCCCTACTCTCCATGATGAAACTCACAAATCCGGTTCAGTTCAGTTCAGTCACTCAGTCGTATCCGACTCTTTGCAACCCCATGGACCAGTAAAGAATCCAAAAACAAACTTAAGGGAAGAAAAAAATAGAAGAGAAGAGAGGGGAAAAGAAAGAATAGGAAGCCAGTGGGAGCAAACTCCAGGACCCTTTCCCTGGGATTCTCTGCTAGTTTCCCCATCTCTGTCAGAGTCTTCCAACTGCCTTCTAATACTTATTGCCTCCTTAACTCTAGATTCTGGTTTCCCTTAGCATTTTTAAAGTGGATCTCTATTTATAACTTTGTTGTGAACTATTGAGAAAATAAGCTTCAGCAATTGAAATTTGTAGGAATTATGCCAGTTCATATAATGAAAGATGGTTGAACAACATGTGGCTGTGGGTTGATAAAAGTTTTGGGTTGGCTCTAAGCCCAGCTCGGCATTTGCTAGCTGAGAAAGCTTGGGGCAAGTGACTCAAGCCCCCTGGGCCTCTGACTTCTGATCTATAAAATGGGGTGATAACACCTCCTTTAAAAGAGTTGTTTTAGAAGAATTGAAATGATGTCAGTAAAGCATCCATTATTGTTCTTGCACAAGGATATGCTTGATAACTGTTAGTCCTCCATCTCTACGGCCTCTCCGCTCCTTTCTTTCACCTTCACTTGCTTTGCTTCTCTATCCCTTCTTGCCTCATTCCTGCCTTCCCTACACAGAGGAAAAGAGCAGCAGGCTTGGTGTGGGAGGCCAACACACATACCAGGCCCTTGCCGTTCACTTGCAGACCTGTGGTCCACATTTTATGTGCTGTCTCAGATTCTTCTTGCCTGATCTGTGTCAGGCCCTTGGCCATGCTCTTGGGCATTCTGGACACTTCTGCAACTCCGCCTCAGTTTCTGCCACTACTGTGTCACCTTAAGGCATCTCCAGGTGGCTCTCTCTCCCATGGAGGAGGCACTGGGGTCCAGAACTGCCTCCATTACACTCACCGCAGCAGGAGCTGTAAGACCCACAGCTGCTTCCCCTCCCCTCACTGCTTCCAAATCTGAAGAAGGTCTAACAGGACAGGGACTCTGGCTGCCCCAGTAGTCGCCTAGAGGGGTCAGGTGACGTCACTTCCTGTGAGCAACGTTGACTGCAGGAAGCAGAAAATAGAATAGCAAGAGCGTATACATTTTTCTCCTTTCCTTGCTCCAATGAACAGTCTGAGAAGTCTGTGCAGAGATCTGGTGAGGCTGAGTTGTGCTCAGTGAGGCAGTGTCCTGCCCAGCGATGCGTCACCTCAGTGGGGGAGGTGTTTTTCCATGCTTCCATGTCTCCATTCCCTTTTCCTCTCACTCCTGCTTCCCTGGGATCCTGTCTCCCAATAAAATATTAGCACTTAAGCCTTGCTTAGCTTTCAGGGATCAAGAGAACCTGAGCTAAGGGCCTGTGAACTACATTTTCCAGGCTCTCTTTCCAGTGTCTTGTCCATAGCATTGGAAGAAGGGGAGGACCTAATGGGAGACTGAAGAGCCAGAGAGAAGAGAAGCCTCGTATTGAGGCATCTCCTCCTTCCAGCTCTGGACGTGTCTCAGGTAGTATCTACGACCTTCCTTGAGTTGATTTGGCCCTGGGGTGGGAGTAATTCCTGCCGCTGCTCATCTCTGAGTTGCATCAGTGCCCCCTCTTACTTTTATAACCAGTTTTCTTTTCTTTTTTTTTTTTAATGTAAAACTCCCTCTGTTGAACCCCCTAGTGTGGGTCCTTTCTTTCCTGACTGTACCCATAAAACACAACAATGAAAGTTTGATTTATTTACCTCTGTTTGTGGTATGACTGAAATCAATTTCTCCTTCCTAAAATATTACTTTTGTACAATAATTTATATTTGTAAAAATCAATAACATAAGAAAACTGGACTTCTAGCTACTTCAAAGGAAATTACCATAAGAAAGCTTTATGGGTTACCATAAAACAAATCAAACAATTATTTCAGCATTTGAAGTGACATTTGACATTTAAAATGAATAATCCTTTCCCAAAGGTTATGCTTCTCAGTTAATACAAGTGCAAGCCCTGCCATCACCTTTTACGTTGCTTCTTTCCAGTCTCTATAGTAGCTACTGAGAGATCTCACTTTGCCTCCTGAACCTGCTAGGTGGCAAATTGACAATGGAAGAATATAAATGCTATTACTTGGTAAATGGGATTGGGATATCATTTGTTTCTGTACCTCCCATGGTGTTATGGGAAGCAAACAAACATCCCCCCTCTCCTCCACTCCAGATGCTATTGAGAACGGGCGTACTTTCATCCTGCAGGGTACATGGTGTTACCAAAATTGGACCCCAAGAGATTGTCGTTTATAGCAAGTGCTCTGTAGGGACTAAGCAATGATTTCTGGGATCCCTTTTGATAACACTGCATGGGTGTAATGCAAATGTAATGCCAGAAATACTTGAGCACCAAACTTAGAGATGCATGCAGACAGCCTTTCCTCTGAACTGGGGGCCTGGGGGGAGGGTCTGTCTCTGGAGCGTACAAATGGGACTACACATGGCAAGGTGAGCTCCCATTCACGGCCTGCCAGCAGTTAGAGTAACAGGAGGGAATTCTGGAAGGGAGCTGGAGTGCAGAGCATCTTCAGAATGAATTGTTTTCTCTTGCCCGGGTTTGCTTGTTTATTCATTTGCTGCTGCTAAGTCACTTCAGTCGTGTCCGACTCTGTGCGACCCCATAGACGGCAGTCCACCAGGCTCCCCCATCCCTGGGATTCTCCAGGCAAGAACACTGGAGTGGGNAGAGGATATATTCCTAATACCACCAGACAGCCTCATGTGAAAAATTCCACCTGAATAAGAATCAGAAGTGGATTCCGTATGACCTACACACACTGGTTTGGTTGGAGCCATTCTTACACTACTGACTTGCTTCTACACTGGGTGGAAACCAACGGTGTCTCCAAGCCTACTGATTGCTTCATACTACCCTATTCAGGTAGGAATCCTCACCTAGATCTTCCCGTGATGCAACAACTCAAGGATTAATCATGGGCATGGCAGGAGGCCTCAAGCACCCTGTCATAGCACTGAAATAGAGTTCATTCTGATTGGCTAGTTTTCATGACAATTATTGGTGTTCAGGTGCTCAGTCGCTCAGTTGCATCTCACTCCTTGTGACCCCATGGACTACAGCATGCTAGGCTTCCCTCTCCTTCTCTATCTTTCAGAGTTTCCTCAAATTCATGTTTATTGAGTCGATGATGCCATCCAGCCATCTCATCCTCTGTTGCCCATCTTCTCCTGCCCTCAATCTTTCCCAGCATCGGGGTCTTTTCCAATGACAAGTACTAAATATTTTTAATATCACATCTGCAGAGAAGGTGCTGACATTTGAAACTAGAGTGAGTTGCCTCAAGAGTTCTTTTCATACTCAAAGTGACTGATTCCCTTGAGAGTTTGAGTCCCCCTGCACAACTCTTCTTAGACGTTGTGGGTCCCAGATCCTCCACCTTCTTTGACCAGGAGGGATAAAGTGGTGGGTCCAGCAGCTGCAGCAACACTATTAGACTCTCGCCCTAAAGACCCCTAAGTATATCTCTCAGGGTGAATTCCATGAATGGCATAACAGCATGATGGCATGGTGGGAGAGCAGGAGCCTCACACAGTGTCCATTCCAGCCCCAGCTGTGCTTTGTGACATTGACGTGACAGTCCTGTCTACTCCCAGAGATGAATCACAGAAAATTAGAGATGAGAAAGACCTATTAGGTCATTGAATCCACACTTCTGCCAGTTCACAATCACCCCTCTATGCTCCATTTCCTACTGCATCAGCCAGTTTGGTTTTTAAATAGCATGGGATACAGAGCCTGCTTTTTCTGTGCCTTCTACACCAAGACTCCTCTCTACCTGCATTCGGCCAAATGCCCAATATAGGATGTTTATTTACTTTAGTTTTAAATACACAGTGATATCACAGTCACTCACTTTCCCCAACCTGGAAAGTTTCTGGGAATAATTAGAAACTGAGGACTCTCTTTTGGCTAGAAAATAGTTTCAGGAAAATGAAAGATCTTGGTAGAGAAAAGAGAAGTGGTAAGCAGTGTTCCTGTGTTATCTCATTTCAATTTCTTTTATTTTAGTTTTACACTTATTTGGCATTGCTCAGCTTCTGCTTTCTTTAACAATAGCTAGAACTATGACTAAGCAGGATCACTGGCTTTGGCTTCCAAGTTTACTTCTGTTTCAATTTTTAACTTGATTATTCATATCCCCTTTCTTTCCGTATTGTATTTAAGATCACAGCTCATCATTGCGATGCAAATAAAGACTGTTCTAAATATCCCAATGGTTTTCCTATTTCATTTTCCAATCTTGGTTTGTCTTCTCAATTTTCCCTAAACACAAGAACAGAAACAATAAGCCTAGCACACCCTTTCTGGACTGTCTTGTTGAAGAAAAATGTGTTTTTCTTCACTTATGGACAGACCAGAGGTCTCCTCAAGGACACTGTCCAGGAATGCATATGTGACTGGCTTACCTTGATTTGACCCTTTAAGCAAGGCTCACTGCATACAGACCGTACCATTCCACTCTTGTTCATTTGGATTTTGTAATCATCGATGTTCAACACCCCTTCATGCCAAGTTCCAACATGTACATAGTCATAGCGATTGGCTTCTGTGTACTGCAGATTCATAATATCATACCTACAAAGAAAACAACATGTGTGTCTTGGAGCATATGGACATGATGTAGAAACTAAAGGAATTTGGTAAATAAATAATAATAGAAGAGAAATAAAAGTTAGAAACATCCCATGTCCTAACATGAGCTACTGTCAATATTTTAGTTTAGTTTAGTTATGTGTCCTGTGATTTTCCAAAATGTGTATTCCATTCTTCAGTCTCTGTATCATCCATATTTGTTAAAGAATATATTATTCTTATACTTTTCTTTCTGTGTATTCTTGAAAATAATTCTATGTGTGCTGGGTAGATCACCATATCCTTCAAATCATTATTCACCAGATTATCCTTTGATCAAGTAACAATTCTTCAGAACATTAATTTTTAGCTTAAATACTTTTATTACAAATTTCTTTTTCACATTCAGTTGCTACTTTAATTAAACTGGATTAAAAGAGGTGAGTCTTATCAAGTCTGGAGTCTTACCTATTTTAGGTGCTAATAGAGCAAGAATTCTGAGAAATGCATCTTTAATTAGCAAGGATGTTGAGGATTTAACATTTTGAGCATTTGACATTTAAACTGGTCTCTTCCTTGATTAGGACAAACATTTCTGAATCCAAATAATCGGTGTCAGTTATTTCAGTTATTTAAATGCTACGATGCTACACAGCAGTAAAATCTACATTTAGAAATCTTCTGTGTGTGTTCTGGGGGCCAGATTCATTGTTTCCCAGTGAAGGCAGTAGAGAGCATGTTCCAATTTGATGGAAAAAGTACAAGATTTGATATTAGAATGTATAAGCTGAAATCTCTTTTCTAATATTTTCCCAGTAGATTGCATGACTTTGGAATGTCAGTAAACTCTTTAAGGCTCATGGGCTTCTTGTGGGAATTTACTTACATAGAATAGATTAAAAAAAAAACTGTTTCACAACTGAGAGAAATGTATATAAAAGACAGTATCACTATATCATATTCACATTTGTAGTACTATTATTATTTATATGCTAAAATACTCTTGTTATTTCCATTCTGTAAGAAACTGAAAACATCTTTGTGTCGGCGCAGCCATTTCCCTTTCTCAGTTCTCTTCTTCCTCGCCACTATGTTCCTACCTATGTCATGTCATCCTGGAATTCTTTCCCTACAAACCTGATTCAGACTCAAAATCCTCCTCAGCCCAACACCCCAGGAAGCTACTACCAGTTAGCCTTGGTTGTCATCTGAAATCATCTGGCTCTATCTGTCTTAGTTCTTTATTTTGTAACTGTTTAGTCACTAATTCGTGTTTGACTCTTTTTGTGGACTGTAGGCTGTCAGGCTCCTCTGTTCATCTGATTCTCAGGCACGAATACTGAAGTTGGTTGTCATTTCCTTCTTAAGGGGATCTTCTCAACCCAGGGATCGAATCTTCATCCCCTGCTTGGCAAGCAAATTCTTTACCATTGAACCACCAGTTCTTTATCTAGACAACTAATACCTTTTCATAGCTTTACTGCATGTTTTTAATAATGTGCAAATGTATCCTGTTACCCACAGGGTTGCTAGTGGCTTCTCCACAACCAGATAGTGGGAGTTTCTATAAATAGCAACCCCTTAAAGGGAAAGGGGATTCTAGGGGAGTAAAGAAAGTCTTTGCTCCACTTTTCCAGATGAACAAAACTTACCTGGAGTAAGAAGAGAGAATGGCTCCCCTGGAGTGCATTATTCATCTCTCTGCTTTCTGGTTTTTGGTAATAGAGGGTTCTCATTCCTCTGGGTGCTGAGACAAACCAGAACGTTCTCAGAGTAGCTCTCTGACTGATAACCACATGGGTATTAACTGCAGGCTGACAGCTCGCACTCATCCCGTTGATCAATGATACTAATCTATACCTCCAATATTTTTCCATTTTTTACACTCCTTATGGTAGGTGGTAAAGAATCTCTGTGCAATGCAGGAGACCTGGGTTCTAATCCTGGGTCAGGAAGATCCCCTGCAGAAGGAAATGGCAACCCACTCCTGTATTCTTGCCTGGGAAATCCCATAGACAGAGGCTCCTGCTGGGCTACAGTCCATGGGGTTGCAAGGGTCAGACACGACTTGAGTGACTAAACCATCTAAACCACCAACCCTGGTTACAGAGCCTACTGTGAGTGCTTTGTATGAGTAGTTTCCTTTTTCATTTCCTTTCATCTTTATGTTTTACTCCATGTTACATTGTTAAATCTCTTTATATACTTTCAATGAAGCCTTGGGTGTAATGCTAGCTTTAGAATATCTTTTTCCTATAAATCAGTTCCTTGAAACTTATATTTCACCTTCCCCATTTCAATAGGAGAAATCAGTTCACACTTTATTAGCATTTAGAAACTGAAAAATTCACAATATCTTGGCATGAAAACATATTTTGAAAAAGTCCCAAAAACTGAGAAAAAAAAAAAAAAAACAACTTGATGATACCAAGGGAAAAATACTGACTTACTAAAGAGAGGCCTTCCCCTGTGCAGTGTGTGTTAATGAACACTGCTCTTTTCTCTTGACCTCACAGGCCCTTCTCAGCACGTTGGCAGTTATTTGGAATATCCTTATGCTGCAAATTACAAGTTTGTAGCATCCTTTCAATGTATTCAATTTCTGTTTCATGATGATTAACTAAAATAATTACAAGAGGGACCAAAAGCATGAATGGTGGTGTGACAGGAGTAGAAACAGAGGGAAGTAGTTGAAATAGAAATTGAACATAGATTAAGCTGACCAATTTCAGACATGAGGAAATGATCCTTGCAAAGGAACCCAGGGGGAAACTCATGATTTAAATACTTAATTAAACATGAAGGAGAAACAAGCTAAAATTGTGGGTCTATATTTTAGCTGATTTACAAGTAGAGAGAGGAGGTGGAAACTTATATCTCTGCAGTGAGGTGAATGTACCTGGCCCTGTCCTAGACACATTGTGTATGCTATAGAATCATGAAGGAAGGTTTCCACCCCCAATCCAATCCTTTACAGAGCTGGTTTGAAGTAGAACCCAGGATTACAACCATGGGTTTAAAGGGGGGTGGGAGGAGGTGGTCGGTGTTCTGCATCTTAGACCCTCTTGTGCCATCTGGTACCACTTCCTAAGGTGCTAACCTCCTGGATGCCTTCCACATGCCCAGACCCTGTGTCACTCTCCTTCCCACTCTCATCTCCATCTAAAGTTGGACCCACCTAACTGGCATCTTGGAAGGAATCTGATACATCAATGGCTTTAATTGTTGACTATTACCTATATCATTTATCCTTCTGGAGCTGTTGGATTTTAGTAGGGAGAATCCGTTGAGGCCCCACAAGGCACTAGCTAAATGTAGAACTTTAAGCTTCCATGAAAGGAAGAGATATGTGGAGAATTATTTAGGGTCAAATAGTCTCTTACAGTCCCTTTGAAATGACATTAAGAAGGTTGTCAGCAACTTTGCCTAATTTTAGGATTAGCTAAAAGGCAATGCGATGTTGCAAAAAGATTACAAGTCTCAGAATCAAACGGCATTGCCTCTACCAGCTACTCTCTGGGTGACTTTAGGGGAGTTTCTTAGTTTCTCTGACACTCAGCTTTATCATCTGTAAAAGAAGATAATAATATGCCTGTGGCAATGAGGATTAAATGATTTGCTGTTCCATTTTATCACAACATATGCTTTTCTAAAATCTCCCATTCTGCAAGCTTTCATACTGAAAGATAACAGGGCTTATGAGGAAAAAAAAAAGAGAGAGAGAGAGAGATTGTGGGCATTCTGTGCAGAAGCCAGACTGAGGGCCTTTTTTCTTTCCTGTTGTAGGTTTTAATTTTTATCCCACTATTCTGATCATCCTTTGCCTAAGAAAATCCCTATGAATGAACACAACTACTCTTTATACAGATAACATCCTCTATATACCAATTACATAGGGACTAATTGGTATTTTAAAAGCAAGCACTGCAGAGGAGAGAGTATATAAAATGACTTGGGAAAAAAATATGTATACATTTAGTTAGATTTAATTTTCCTTTGCTTCTTGATTAATTCTTTGGAAGCCATAGAGACTCAATATGAGGCAGAAGATTCTTTTCTTTCTTGTTCCAAGAAACATGTTAGTGGGAACATAAGGTAGCCTGAGAAAAAAGGACACATATGGTTCTCTTCATATATTAAGATCTTTAAGCAGATAAGATTAAAATTTTCCACAAGCAGTATGGCATTGGGATTGATCAATCAGAACATGCTGACCAGATATTGGCAGTGCCAGGGAGGGTTCTGCTACTCCGATATACTCACTCTGGTTTCTTGGGCTTGCAGGAAGGTGCTGGGCCTTCTGGGGGAAGACCAAAGATGATAGTGGAGTGTGTTTTGGGGGAGCGGGGTTGACACTAGCAGGATGTAGGATTGTGGGTGTTTACCAATAAGTATTTAATGTTTTATAATGCCATTTCCATCTAACATTAGCCCCATCTTTTTAGCTATCTAATTGTATCTACCCTCATGACACCCAGAAAACATGTGACCTAAAGGAGCCAGAGTGTCCATCTGTCTGGCTTAGAGAGGATCACAGGGTTATTTGGATCCATTATGGAAAGGTCTGCTTTACCTTCCAGGAGCATCCCCTTTCTCATCAAACCACACCTCCTCTCCAGACACACCGATGAACGTGGACTTGATGAGGAAGTCCAGGAGTTTGCTGCCATCGATGGGCTTCATGGCATCGCAGAGGCCCACGTGGCCGGGGCAGAGGGCCTGGTGCATGTTGTGTAGCCCGTGCGCCATGGCGTAGATGGCATTGATGACAAACCCCATCTTACTGTCCTGGACATAGTTCTCTTCTAAGCTTTCATTGCCTGTAACATAAAAACAGATTACTTCCAAGGTTGCAGTCATGAAGCTTAAACCTACATGTTTAATTCTCAAATGCTTTTCAGGGCTGTCAGAAGAAGGGAAAGCCAAATATACCTGTCTAAGCTTTGTGTTTGTGACTAGCTCTAGATAGATAGTATATTCTATCTTCAAATAGTTTTTTCAATTTTATTTTCTGAATTCAATAATGGCTTTATAACATATAAAACAAGCACCATAGAAGTTAGAATAAAGAACATTCACATATTGCAAGGAAATTCTTAAGGAGCAATGAAAATACCTCTTCTTTCCTCTGGGTTCAGAGATTTACATTAAAAGTCTCCGTATATCACAGTCCTGGAAAAGTGTTTTTTATATCTTTTCTGACAATCCACAATCTGTCATAAATCAGTTTGTGCCTTATCTAAACCTCAATATTTTCTTTTGATGATTCCACTGATTTTATCATCTCTAAGATCACAAAAACCAAGAGTGAAATGAACTGGTTAGTATGAATTTCTTCTTATATATGATTTGCTATACAGAAATATTTGAATAAGATTCGCTAATTATCAGAAACTCACGTAAAACACTTCTTGACGGAAGAGTTACACTACACCTTTAATCTAAACATTAAGCTTTATCTCTGAATTTCAAAACCTCTGCCATTATTCCCACCCATGTCACAGATGACAGCCTAAATAGGTCATTAGACCCTAAAGTGCCTGGGCTGGATAATAGCAGAATATTTTAGGAACTTAGAAAACTTGAAATGTTTAGAAGAAATGGTAAAGAGTTTTGACTTTGATGTTGAGCTTGAGATTAAATAAGACATTTATAAAGAGTTCTAAGACTAATCTATTTAGGTACACTTGAAAATGTAAAAAATATACATTTGCATCTATCCTGTGAGTGAGATTTGAAATACCCAGGCCAGGTTGAAGGGGGGAAAATTTCAATTTTAACTCATTTTCCAGTGCTGCTTAATAGGAAATTGTTAAGAGTGTGATTTTCTAAAGTAGCTTTCCTAATTGAAAGAAATAGGAGCAAGAGAGGCAGAAAGGGCATTTTAGAATCAAACTGTGCATAATAAGTATAGAAGTTGCATAAAGCAGAAAACAAACATCCTCCCTGCAAAAACTAAGAAGTCATTGAAATAAGGTGATTTATGTCACCCAGAACCCCTGGATCTTAAATGTTAGTTTGCTTTCTCTCTACATTATATCAGGATATAAAAGAGATAAATTAATGCCATATGTCTGATAAGTTTTAAATGAGCCTTTAAAGACTGTTCGAAACCTCCAAGCGTTAGAGTTAAATGTTAAAGCTGTTAGAATTAGAGAAATTACCAGCAGTTAAAGAAGAAGAAAAAAATAGACAAAAAATGGATGACAAAATAACCTTCAATGTAGCCGTTACTTAAAGAGTTCTGCTGCTGCTGCTGCTAAGTTGCTTCAGTCGTGTCCGACTCTGTGCGACCCCATAAACTGCAGCCCACCAGGCTCCTCCGTCCGTGGGATTTTCCAGGCAAGAGTACTGGAGTGGGGTGCCATTGTCTACTTAAAGAGTTCTAGCAACTATTAAAGGAAAGCTCTACTAAAACCATCCACTTCAAGTGGCTGCTATTAAAGTCAGCCCTGGGAGCAAACGATAAGAAAATATGTGTTCTTTAGCAATTGGAAAGTTTTCTACTGGGGACAAACCTTATGACCACTGAGTTTGCTGTTTTGTTTTTGTTTTGATAACTATTATCAAGATGTATATAATGCACCTTTAATAACAATTATCAAATCAAAACAACCTGTATCTATCTACTAATGTTATGAGTAAGGTGAGTGAAGTCACTTAGTCATGTCCAACTCTTTGGGACCCCATGGACTGTAGCCTACCAGGTTCCTCTGTCCATGAAATTTTCCAGGCAAGAGTACTGGAGTGGGTTGCTGTTTCCTTCTCCAGGGGATCATCCTGATCCAGGGATTGAACCCAGGTCTCCTGCATTGGCAGGCAGGTTCTTTACCACTAACTCCACTCCAATTAAGATGAAGAAGCCCATCCTGTCAGTATTTATCATACAGAGAACCAGGAGGCTAAGCACATGTCTTCAGGGAATATTTGTCATGCAAATCCTTTTCCAAATAAATACAACCAGCCTGTGTGCTTGTGTAAATCTGAAGTGACACATGGACTTCCCTACCACCAGTCCACTAGGTCTGCACTTGAAGGGGATGTGCCTGCTGTCAGTAAGAAGTCTCTTTCCAGCTTCTACCCCAGCTCAGGATAAACCAGCATTTGTAAAGGTTTGGCACTGAGTTAGAAAAATCACATGGCCTTTATGAGACCATTTTCTTTGCCATAGCAATGGTCCCAGATGATGTTGCAAGAATTCATCAACAGACAAACAGAATATGTGACAGGTTTTCCTGTTGCCCAAAGATCCTATATTTTCATGACCAGTGAATACAGAATCCAAACTAATAATATTGTCACTTAGTGGGAAGGTGAAAACATTCTGACTCCCGGGAGTTTAGTGCCTTTTTAATAATACTAGTCGCAGAGTTATTAGTGAGAAGGGGATTTTATGATTCATTTTCTGTGATGCGTTAACTGTTACAGGCCACTAGGGTATCATTAAACCATTACTTTTTCTAATATACTTAATGGAATCAAATAATCGTGGTTGGCTGTGTTTATTTACCTTCAAAAGAATACCTGCCTAACTACTTCATAGTGGAATGTGAAAATAGCTACCTTGATTCAAAATAGTAATCTTGTTCTTACTGCAAGAACACAACAGGGCTATAAATTGCTGCCTGAGTGTGGCCGCATGCAGATTCTCCACGGGGGAAGAAACAGACTGTATACCCTCTGAAAACAGGAAATGCACGGTGGTGGGGCAAAGGCTTGGCTATTCTATCTGCTGCCTAATTTAGGATGGCTATCCAGCAGAGCCGTATAGCAAAAAGAGCTCTGGGCTAGGCACTTCAACACCTGGAACCTAGTGAGATGGAGCAGGACTCTGTGGGGCTCTCCCAGGTAGAAATCCTTTCCGTGTCCCCAATTTCTTGTTTCGGGCTTCCCTGGTGGCTCAGATGGTAAAGAATCCGCTTGCAACACTGGAGACCTGGGTTTGATCCCTGGGTTGAGAAGATCCCCTGGAGGAGGGCATGGCAACCCACTCCAGTATTCTTGTCTGGAGAATTCCTATCGAGAGAGGAGCCTGGCAGGCTACAGGCCATGGGGTCACAAAGAGTTGGACAGGACTGAGTGATCAAGCACAATTTCTTGTTTGTAGGAAATGAGCTTCATTCAGCCTCCTTGACCATCCCTGAGTTCCAAACTGTAGATTCCAACAGTTGCTTTTGGGGAAGAGAGGGAATGCAGAAACAAAGACGGAGCAGTCAAGAAACAATAGTACAGCCAGGGGCTGTACTGATTCCTCCTTGAGGGATGAACATATCAATATTTTCTAGTTCTTCTGTGGGAAGCAAGGTCTTCACCCAGGTGGAGGACAGTAACTTCAGCCCTGGAAATTGTCCTGTTACCACCCCTGATCAATCAGAGAAAGTCATGGACCTTTCAGTCCTCACCCCAAATCTTGACTATAAAACTCCCTGCTGAGCCACTAGGGAATTCTGGCTTTTTGAGCATGAGCCACTCATGCTCCTTGCTTGGTCCTGAAATAAATCTTTCTCTGCTCCAAACTCTGACATTTCAGTCTATTTGGCCTCCCTTTGTGTTGAGTACATGAACTTGTGTTCAGTAATGCTAGAGGCATTTCTGCTGTAATATATCAATACATGTCCAACAAACACTGGAACTTGGACAAGGGTCTGAATCTCCTAGAGTCCAGTTTCCTAGAAAGCTAGAGTCTGTTTCCTAACCTAAAAAAATACCACAAGTGTATTCAGATTAACTTTCTGAAGATGTCTCCCCACCGCCTCTAAAGTGTCTATGTTTTGCTTCTCCAGTTCTACCTTTCTTGTTACTTAGCAAAGTCCTTTGCATATATTATCATATTTCAATCCTTAAAACTGTATGAGTTTCAGTCTATTATCACCATTTTACCATTGAGAAGGTTAAAGCACAGATAAGTGAAGTCTCCATTGGGGAGAAATGCCTTCCTTTCTCTTTACTTAATGCTCCTTTGTGAAGAGACGCCTACTGAGCACCACCTCACGCCTCATGTCTTGCCCAATGGGAAGCGATGGATGACTCATCTTTTTGCAGTACTGGGAAAAAGAAATGCATGCTCAGCTCAACCTCTTTCTCATCTGGAGGCTGACACTTGACAATGGTTCTCAATGGTCGTGGTTGATTCTCCAGCCTTTGGTAAATGTGGGCTGTAGCTGTCCAGTTGAGCCAGCAGGCTGTATGTATGTTGGTCTCTCAGTTGTGTCTGACTCTTTGTGACCCCATAGATTGTCGTCCGCCAGGCTCCTCTGTCCATGGGATTCTCTAGGCCAGAATACTAAAGTGGATTGCCATTCCCTTCTCCAGAGGATCTTTCCAACCCAGGGACTGAACTCTAGTCTCCTGCATAGCAGGCAAATTCTTTACTGTGTGAGCTACAGGGAAGTCCATGTGCCATAGAATAGACTGGTTAATCTATCTAGTATGGCACATATCTTTTCTGTGTCCCTAATCCAGTTTAGATTTTTTTGTTTTTCAGTTTTTTTATTGACTTTTAGAAACCTTTTCAACAAGGTATAACTCACATATGGTGCAGAAATTTTTACTATACAGATTAATAAATGTTTACATATGGAGTTGGTGATGGACAGGGAAGCCTGGCATGCTGTAGTCCATGGGGTCGAAAAGACTCAGACATAACTGAGTGACTGAGTTCATGAAACGAACTGAACTGACATGTGGACATACCCATGTACCTGCTCCCCAGATCATGTTATAGAGCATTTCTAGAGGCTTCCATTTACTTACAGCTTCCTTAATTTATCCCAGCAATGTTTTATGATTTTTCAGTATGCAGGCATTTGATTTTTATG